TGAGTTTGTCGCTTGGATCTTTTTCGATTCCTTCCAAATTGTTTCAGTTTTTAAAAGTTTTTGATTATCTTTACAAAGCGTCCATTCAATTTCCATAAATATTCTAAATGCTATTCAGATTTTGTTGCACAAAAAGCGAGTGATGGAGTGTTGTGTTACGAAGAATTAGAATGTGGTCACATTCAGCAGCAACAACAACAACATCCTCCCAGTTATCCAAACGCTTTGATGCGAATTCGGCAAAACGATCATGAAAGATTCTCTAGACACAATGTAATTATTACTCTTCTTCTGAAATGATTTCTAAATATTACTTGGAAATCGACTAGTTCGGATCGAGTGTGTTCACCTCATCACATGGACCGTATACGCGGTGTCTATTCGAAAAACTTGTTATCATATCCGTGATCCTCCGAGTCAATGAGTTAATGTTGCACGATTGGAAAGTTCAAGTTCGTGTTGTTTGCCATCGTAATGTTTATCGTCACAAATAAGAATTTATTCCGCTCAGCGTTCGATTTTCAATGTGATCTCTTCGTTGATTAAACATGCTATGGAACAAGTTTGTTCATCATATCTATGCAAGTATTCGTCACTCAAAGAAAAATTGAACAAAACCGAATGATTTCAGGTGCCTCCTCGAGTGTTTCGACAATACAACAATCGATCTTCATCTTTGCCGAGGGGACTTCATCATAATTCCGATTACGAAGATGGTACGAGACGAGATTCGATCGATTATTTCGATCGTCGAACTCATCAAAAACCACCACAACCACAACAACAGCAGCAGCAGTTCCAACAACATCAACAACAGTTTGATTATAAAGTATTTATCTTTCACATTTTTTGGAGCTAAGATATGAATCGTGTACTCGTTATGAATCTTATCGCGCTTATACTTAAACAAACTTCACATTACATTTCTTTTATTCATCTTTCACAACATCAAATTTTAGTTGATAGCGACGACCGATAGGACTCTTTTTTGGTAGTTCATAATATATAATCGTTTGGTGCGAATCCTTAATTGTAGATGTCTTGAATATACATTGAGTTATGAAAATTGATGAAAGTTCATGTCAAAAACACGCAGATTGCTATTGCACACTTCTCTTACAAGTCTCTTTTGAAAATGAAACTTTAGCAAGCTGTCGTATCCTTTCAATTACTTCATTACTGCTCAATTTTAAGAACCACATTATAATCAAGTTTAAAGATGATGATAATCACAGTAATACATGTTTTGTCCAAAAACACCAGTAAGCAATGCTTCTGAAGGCTTAGGCTTTAAAAGCAGAACTATCAAACCGTTTTTCAATATTCGCTATCAATTCGTTCTCTGCT